GGGGAACGGCCACAAAATGGCCGCCGCGGCGCTGGTGGGGGGAGGGGCCTATCCCAGGGCTGGCAGCTGCGCGGAGATGAGGGGTCCTGGGCGGGCCGCCCCAGAGCGGAGATAATGGGCCGGTGAGTGCGGGCGTCGCCACAGGAGGCTGGGACCGTGTTGGGGGGAGGGCTGCGAGGTGCTCGGGCGTTTGCAACCCCGCCCCGCCTCTTTGGAGTTCGCGCCTGTTCCCTGCTCATCCCTTCCACCGGAGCACGTTGTCTGCCCAGGTCTACAAAACGCGTGCCCTAGTGCCGTGTTTCGGAGTGACGGGCATCGGCTGCTAGTTTGTAACCCAAACTTACTACAAAAACAACAAAAAAGATGTAGAAAAAGACGCTCTCTCATAAAACACCTACGAGAGCTTTTCAGTCCTTACAAAATCGTAACAGATGCGTCCGGCTCCCCTGGATGAGGTTCAGATGTTGAAGAAGCTGATAAGGATGCCTGAAAGACCAGTAACCACCTTTCACGGTAGCCAAGGAGTTTGCTTTGACTAGCGCATCTGGTGATACAGTCAGAAGTAGTTTTTAAAGAAAAAGTAAATTCTCTGTATTTACTTAGCTGCTGTGCAGGCTCAGTGCTACTTACATCTGTGATGCTTTCAGTGCATCTATTAACACATCCAATTATCGAATACCAAACTTGATGTTCTGAAGACTCATCCGCTCCCCTAGAGCAGCGGTTCCCAAACTCTGACAGATTGCCCACCAGCAGTTTAAAACAATACAACCTTAAGTACCACCAGCAATGTTTTCAGTTCAATCTTAAGTACCAGTAGCAAATTTTTGTCATGTAAAATAATTATAACAAATTGTTAACACATACCCCTGGCAGGTTGTCTGAGTACCGCTACCGCTGCCCTAGAGTATTTCAAAAGACAAGTCGGCAGCACTTTCTGAACCCAAGTCCATGTCCGTAAGAGCCAGGTGCCTCCTTTCAGTCTATGACCATTCCTTTTATGTTTGAGTCGATGCTAAGCTTTTATGTCTCGCTATCTCTAAATAATAGCTCCTCTTTTTTCCTCAGATCTCTTCTAATGAAGAAATGTCATCTATTCATCTCTCCATTTAAAGTTTGAATTTATTCCAAATTTCTTCATAATTGTTAGCTCCTAGAGTTGTATTTTCCTTCAGATGTTCCTCAAACTTTCTGGTTTAAAGGCAGAAGATATTTTTTTAATAGCAAAATCCATTGATTTCTGCCAAATTTCTAAGTAAGCACCCTTTTTTTTTTCTTCTCCCTTGTAGAGCCCCAACACTGCCTTGATAGGGCAGTTTATCTGTTACTTAGTTTCAAGAGGTTTGGGAAGTTTAAGCAGTGATTTTTGGGGGGTTTCACTTCTCTTCTGGATCTTCGCAGTTAATTACAGCCAGTAGAAGATGAGTGAACATTGATCAAGTCCTTTTGACACTTATGTTGCAGAGGTCTCAGGAAGGTTCAGTAAGCTGTAACTTTTTCTACAGTTTGTTTATAGGCTCTGTTGAAAATATTAAAATCTCTTGAAACCTTCATAAAAATAGGTGGGTTTTTTTTTTCAAATGATTTCCTAGGTAACTTGGAAGAAAATTGCCATATAGTCATATTTCTCCGTGGCCGAAATCGCTAGACCCTTTTTTCTGTTTTGCACCAGTGTATTGGAAGTCTGGGACAGAAAGTGGAACTTGAATGTTTTGACAAGATTGTTATCTAACACTGTCAGGAAAAAAAGTTATCCTATGCTCACAGAGTCAATATGAAGCTTTCCTAAGATAAGAACATAGTGATTTGTTAGTCTGGCAGTAGAGAAAGAGTTAACCATGAGGTGACAAAAAGGCTCCAAACTGCAAGGTTTTAGTGATAAAGATGAAGAAAGAAAAGCAGAACATTTGTATCTACACTTGAGACCTGGTAATCTCCTTTTTTACCTATTGTAATGTAAAAATGTAAATGAAACGCATACAAAATGCAAAGAGTGTAGTTCTGTTGCCATTGAAATAAATGGCAAAGCTCTTACTGATTTCAGCTCTGAAGCACTGGGCTTTAATTATGGAAAACCACCTACATACTTAACAAACACCTTTGGGACACTGTTAGTATATATATGCAAGAAGTAAGCTCCAAACAGGATTCAGACAAGTTACCAGTACGGGACTTGGAGGAGAATTGCACCAGTATGCTTTGAAAAGATTAAAGTGGGTTTTACATTGCCTTATCTTAAAAATAGTTTGTCATACCCAGGTAGGATTTTTCCCCAAAATTTCTTATCAAATTCTAGTTCATAACTAATTTGGATATAAGAAAAGCTGATGATAGTGGTTTAAATTGTGTGGAGTTTTGTACAGATGGTGATAGATTATCCTAATTTGCCTTCTGTCCTTAAAATTTATTAATCACTTTTGAGAAGTGACTCTCTGAATTTAGGATGATTAGAATGACCCTGCTGAGCTAAGGTATGCTGGTTTGATGGCCTGATGAACTTCAAATCAGTTTCCTGCTGACAAATTTTCTTAACTGTGACTTCTTCTCCGGCAGGTCCTGCATAACAGCCAAATTATACAGAATTAGTTTTTCTCCATTCAGTGCTATAGAACTCTGAGACTCCTCAAGAGATCTTAAGTCATCTTTCTTTTTCCCTCCAGCCTTTCCTTTTCAGTTTCTATGTTTATTTCAAGATTCCTGTTGAAGATTTACCTCCCTTTGGATTTCATAGTCCGTGGGACCTGTTGTTGCTATGTTCTTTATGGTTCTGAATTCAAATCATAAAATTATTTTTGGCACATGGGTCCTGTATGTCTTTTAATATCCTCAGTATGTGATATGGAACGTGTAGAGGCAATTTTGAAAGGCTAATTCTTGGGATCTGCTAGGGGTGCTCTTTGGAAATTTAGGAGCTTTGTTGGGTTGTCTCATTTCTGCCTCCCAACAGCTCTCAGTATGTGATGTGACATAACACTTTAAAAAATTCTTAAAATCTTGATGAAATTCTGATTATTTCAGCAACAACCTCTGTGATCTATTAATGTAACTAATTAAATAAATAGGGAAATGCACAATTAAGATAAGCTGAATTCTCTTCTGTTTTCTTTTCTTTCACCATCAGAGAATTGGGCAACATGATCCTAAACAAACACTGGTGCACCTTCTGTAGTTGCAAACCTTTAACCTTTTTATCATTGTTCAGTGAGTAGCCTTAATCCCCTATTTACTGCACCTTATTCAGACCCTGCTCTGAAGACACTTTAATTTTCATATTAGGTCGTCTTCTGCTCTCATCACTTTAGTATCTGAATGCTTCACAAACATTGATGCTTTAGCTTGACACACATGAAGCATGAGGAGGTGTTATTACCTTCTCCCCACTCCCCTAGATGGATTGTTTAGGCACAGAGAGGTTAAAAGAAAAAGTTTCTATTAATCTGGGATGCTTAATTTGAGATCATTAGGATTTGATTTTTTCCAAGTACCTGAAAAATGTTTGATACCTTTCCCATTGACTTGAGTTTGGGAAGTGTGGGTGCTCAGCTCTTCCCCAGGTCCTGCTCCAGGGCCTCGATTTGGACATCTAGAAAACAAGGAAAATGAAATTGCTAACCACCCAAGGAATGTTCTTTAAGGCACTTGCTTAGTAGCACATTAGGGACTCTGCGGCAGAAGTAGAATCCAGCTCTCCAGGTAACTATTCACTTGCCTTAACCTTGAGACAATGCAATCCTCTTTTTACTCAGTGCACACCTTCAGAGTAGTCTGTACCAAACCCACAATATTTACAAGACTGAGAAAAGGGTGCGGGATGTCCTCTGACTGGATCCTGTTTTTGCTCCTTGGTACCTCATGTTTAGGAAGAATTCCTCTGGGAAGGATCTCCTGGTTCCTTGGACCAGTATTTATTAATACTAGGTCCTGTTGGGGGTTCTTTGCTCGGTGTCTCCTTCTAGATCCCTTCTCTTGGACATGTGACTTCCTTTTCCTTTTGTATCATCATTTTGTTGCACAAATACCCACCAGTTCTAGGTAGGCCTAGACCCTTGACCCAGGTTTTTCATGATGTTCCCCTTGCCACTTGTGCATTAAATAAAATCAGGGTTCTAGTAGAAACACCAGATACTTTCATTGCACATAGTGTTGATTCATCCCCAGAGCATGTACATCTGTATGTTAAATGAGGCTGATCTGGAAAAATGTGTAATTAAAAACAATCAAAATTATATGCACAAGGAAACGTGTCATGGACAGCCTTAATTGTACATTCCTTAATTCTTAAGTGTTTAAGGTTTTTTTAATATATGGGTGTTTGTATGTGTAATTTCCTAATATTTAAAAAAAGCAAAATGAAAAGAAATTTGTTATATTTACATTTTCCACTTGAATTAATTAATGGATGGTTTCACACAGGTTTGCCAACAGCAAAGGAATGGTAAAACACTCATTGGCCTGTTCTCTTGAGTTTGTAGGAGAATGGGCTTTTGAGGACACTAACACTTAGCTGTTTCTCTTAAGCTTGTACCCTTCTTTGTTCCCTCCAGCCTGTCACCATTATCTTTTCGCTGCCCTTGACACCTCAGTCCCATTCGCCTTGCTTTTCTATTGTTAATCTGTGCTTCTCAGGCATTTCATTCCTGTCCCAGCCTTCTTGTCTAGTCAGTTGTATTTGCTTTTCAGATTTGCTGGCGAAATCTCAATCTCTCAATTCCCAGCTTCTTTCCTCTCTTATTTTGCCCCAGTCCCCTTGGCCAGCCAATCTCAGCTTCTTGCTTCCCTTTCTCATCTCATCTCTCCTCTGTGGCTCCCCACCCTAGCCTTCTCCTGGGGCCCCTACACCTTGTTGCTGTAGTCTTTCTCTTCCCTTGCTTCTTTCTCAGGCTGACTGCTCAGTTCCAATTCTGTTTTCACATGCCCTCTTGTCATATTTGTCTTCTTTTCTCATCCTAGTTCATAGTCCCAAACCCTTTGTCCAATGACTCCTAATCTCTCCCTTACTCCTGGGTCTCCCATTTCCATCTTTTAAATCCTGATCTTCTCACATTCACAGTCCTAGCCTCTGCTCCTCCATGCTTGGGTCTGAGTCCTTATTAAAATATGTTCTTTTCCATTTCCCTGGCCCATCTTGCATTCAAATTAGATGCTTTCCCAGACATGTTCTCAAGGTGCTAACAGGGTTGGTCTTACAGAGTCCAGAAGAGACAAGCTTCTTGTATCCTAATCATTACCTGAAGCAACTGGAAGAAGTCACTGCAAGGGAAGTATAGTTTAGCTTCTGTAGCCCTCTTTTTCTCTGGGATTTTGCTCTCTCTCTGTGGGCTGGCACCTGCCCGGTTCAGTGACATGGAGGAGCTGTGCGGGGATGGAGCATGTAAGGTATTCTGTCAGAATGACTCATGAAGAGTCTGGTCAGTACAAAGAAGTGTGAGTGGCATGAACATTGTTAGAAAAGATGGTCTATTCACCTCAGTTTGTACAAAGATCAAAGTCTACTGAGCATGTACACACTTAAAACAACAACAAAAACAGATTTTGGTAGATTTTTCCACAGATAGTAAAAGAGATATTCCCAAGACAAAGGCATGCCTCTTCCAAGGATCAAGTAATAGCAAAACCATGTGTAGCACTCTCATGTTGTGGAACTATTCAAAGAAAAGGTTTCCAGAATGTTTTCAGCAATGTAGTATATTTCCCGTTACCTTATTCCCAGAAACGGCTGCCCTGTTTTGGTGTAGAGAGAAAGGTAGTAGTTTCAACTTAAACAGTTAAGTATGGCAGGTAACTGAAAATGTTCTTATAATTTTGAAGTGTTGAGCAGTCTCACCTATAAGCTGCTCTATTGATTGCACATGTAGCATTTATAGGGAGCATAAATTTGACATTTGTCGCTTATGTCACACTTGAGAGTTTTCCTGTGTGCTGTAGCATGTATGTACTGTAATGCAGGATTTGGATTAACCTTGCAAACAGGTCTGATCTCTGAATTGTTTGCTCAGAAGGTAACAAGTGTCAAAGGTATCTCAGCCAGTGTGGATCTCTATTTCTACATAAACAAAGTAGCAGTACCCAGAAATCCTTCCAGGATTCACAATTCCTGTAAACTATATAGAACTGGAAGGGTTCTTCCATTGGTATTGTGATGGAGTTACAAACTTGACTATCTAGTAGAATTCTGAGGTAATAGAAATAAGTACTTTCAAATATATTTAACAGCCTGAGTACTTGTTGAGGCCAGTTAAAGTAATTTAGAATTGTGGGTCACTATTAACGCAACATTAAAATAAGGGAAATTTTACATACATTTTTTCTCATATTTAAAACCTTTCAGTTCATAAATCCTGTTTGCTGCTTTCAGCCTTTCCCCCAGAATACATTTAGGTGGAAGAACTATCATAAGAAATGTCATGATCTGTTTTCTCTGTTTAAAAATCGCAAATTCTCTGATTAAAACCCCCCAAATCCATGTTTTTCTGTGATTAAAATGAAACACCACTATACATATAGATATCAGTTGAACACAATGTTTTTTATTGATCTTTTTACAATTTTAAACAATTTGAAAGCCTGCCACTGTCTCAATCACTGTAATAAATTCTAAATATTTACAAATGTTAGCATTTGGTTTTGGGTTTTTTATCATGGAAAATCAGAGCTTCCCCTAACCCCTTCACTCACCAAGATGCAGGTCTAGCTACGGCTGTCCACCCCCATGGTGCTTTGTATTGCTGAACAGCCCTGACATGCTGATGGTCTGGCCATGCCATTGCCCCTCGCTCCCCACCCACAGCCCCCTGGGCCCTGCTTGTGCCCCTCACTCACCCCTCCCCCCCCAGCTCTTCCATCCCTGCTGGTGCCCCTCAAACCCCACCCACGACCCTGCTCCAGCCCTACTAGAGAGGACCTCCAGCTGCCAGGACTAGGTGGCTAGAGACCTGGGTCTGCAGCACCATGCAGAGCCCAGCTCTCAATCTCCCACAGGTGGCACAGCTGAAATGGGGGGGTGGATGCAGGCTTCCCACTGGGCTCAGACTCCCCACCCTGCTGCTTTCCCCCCCATGGCCCAGTTGGCAGGACCCACGGCAGAGCAGGGCCAGGAGGGGAAGTTAGTTGCTGCCACGGCAATTCCCGCACTTTCATAGAGGAGGCGCCCCCTGCCCATCTGGCAGCAGTGAGGGCACAACCCTGTGCTGCTGGGTGGGCAAGAGGGTGCCTTGCCATGATGGCATGGAGCTCCCAGCAGCAGCTCTGAGTTGCTCTCCCCAGCTTTGCCCTGCTGTGCCAGGTCCCACCTGCTGGGCTATGGAGGCCCTGTGGGGAGGACAGCAGGAGGGAGAGCCCCAAGCATGCAGTAGGCAGCCTCCCCTCTTGCTCCCCACACAAATCTAGTGTGCCCCCCATACCTCCCCCTGGGAGTGCGCACAGCAGTGGGGAGCTAACCCCTGTGGACAAGCCACCCCCGGCCCTGTCCTGCTCCCTGCCTAGGCTCTGCAGCTATGCTTTCCAGCCCCGGGCTCCAAGTCTCACCTACCACCCTAGCTGGGCAGTGCCCCCAACCCTGCCCAACTCCTTCACTATGGGTGCCTCAATTCCTGCCCCCCAACCCTTGACGTATCTGCAGGTAGCTGCTCTCCAGGCTGCCTGGCAGTCATATGCATGTGTGAGCATGTACTGTACGTGCACATGGCACCCTCTGCCTCACCCCCTTGCCCCTTGCAGGCTGAACTCTGCCAGCCTGAAAGGAAAACCCGCCATTTCCTGTGTTTTTCTCCTTCAAAGGAGAAAATCTAGATTTTACCGTATTTTTCCATGGCAAACGGAAAATCCTGATCCCTGGTCAGAGAGGTAGGTACATGAAACATCATGATATCTATTTCACTCACACATTCGCATGCAAATCTATGTTGTGTTTATTAAGTTGGTTAGGGAAGGGAAGCTCAGGTTTATTTTCTTTATAAATCGTCATGTGTGCAATGAATGTGAATTGTTTTTGCCATGCTTGGAACTCTTTGGTGAAACACTGTCTATTAGGGCTCCAGCCCAGAAGCAAAAAATCTGCTCTATGGTTGTATCTTCCCTCTCTTACAACACACACACAACACTTCATTTTTAACTGTTTTATCAGGCCCTAGCTCCTATTTTCTGTCTTAACTATGATGTCCACTTATTCCCCTTTATAACTGTTGTCAGTAGTGGGCTTTTGGGTTCGGTTTAGTAAATTTAGCAGTTGGTACCAAAGGTAACTGGTTGAGAAGAGCATAGTTTCATAAGGAGAACTTCATTTTTCTTTAGTTTACACTTTCATTCTGTCAAAGTCAATAATCACTCACTTAAATTCTCAGCTCTACAAGAAATCCCTTGGGTTCCAGATTACCTTAATCATACATCCTAACCAACAGAAAACTGAGATTTAAAAATCTGACTTCGTGAGAAGTTTTGTTTGGTATACAGTAAGAACTTTTCTCATGATCTTTGGCCTCAGAGCTTCTTGTACCTACAATATGTCACATACCAGACTCAGGATACAACCATTGCATTTCTGGATAATAATACTGCTAGCAACACAATGCATAGACAGTCTAGGGTATTCTTCAGTGGTAGACGGAGCATGCATGCAAAGTAAGTCCCTTCAGTCTTCTTATTTGGCTGTGACTTTGACAGGCACTTCAGGGATAAGTTGTGGGCTGATCTGTATTATCTACAGATACAGAGGAACAAAAATCATCAGTATCCTTGCACTGACTGTGAATCAATTGCTGTTGAAAGGTTCCCTGTTTTAAATCATGGGAAAGTCTGTACAAATATGGACAGCAATAGGATAATATCATATTACTTGGCAAAATGAGGCCTAATCTTGGGAATCAATGTTAGGAGGTAAACCTTGGGTTACACCATCAACACTGCATCTTCCAGCTAGGCAATTATATTGTGATCAGCCTCAGTTGAGAGTACAGAACTTGAACTGGGTGTTCTTTCAAATTGTTGAAAATAATATGCATATTTCACAAATGGGGAAAAGTATGTAATAAACTTTTTCCTTAAAAAGGAGAACTTTTAGGCTTGAAGTACGCACAATAACTACATGGACTAACTAATTTGTGTATATGGAGAGCCATACTCATTTTAAGAGTTACTAATACTAACTAAATGACCATAGATGCCTGAATTTTATATACATTACAGCTTCCAGCATTGCTGCCTCTGGTAAAGTGGCACTACTGGTGAATTATGCATCCCTTTTATTATATACATCTAGAAAAACACCTATTCGGTTATCTACTTAGCAGGTGCAGAACTGCAGTGAAGCCTACTTTTAGGAGACTACAAGCAAAATAAAAATGAATGCTAACTCACAATTTTCTGTGATTAATGCGGTAACCATAATATATGTAAACAAAGGATAATTTCTGTGAACGGTGGAATGAGAAGAATATAGGCTATCCAGGAGACTTTTGTAAAGAAACTAATAAACTTGCCTAAGAATGCCATATTATTGTCACTGCCCGCATCAATGTACTAGTCAAATTCCAGATTCTCTACCGGATAATTTAGAATAGTGAATTAAATATTCTTTATATATGCTGTATTAGCTTGAGATTCCTCTCATATATCTAATTTAAGTGTCTCATTCTCTTAATTGATACACTGAGGAAGTTTATGGAGGAGTGTCATTGTTCTGGGCTTATATTGGTGTTTCATTTATTTGGAGCCTGATCTACAGCCTGTTAAATCAATGATTCTTCCCTAATGAATTAAAAATTACTTGTATTGATTTGGGTGAAGGAATATAAACAAGATTTTTAATGAGGAGTTGCTCTTGAAGATTAGCATGCCTGATTTTCAAATTATGCAAAGATTTGATTTTCCATAAATATCGTTATTAAAAATAAACAAGGCTGCTAGAAAACTGATAAGAAGGACTATAGGTACACAGGTCTTGGTTTTCAAAAATGAGTGCCTAAAAGTAGATTTCTAAGTTCTCATTAAGTACCTGATTTTGTAAAAGTGCTGAGTACCTTGTATATTCTATTAAATTGATAGATGCAAGGTGTTCAGAACTGCTGGTTGTTCAGCTCTTCTGAGTATTGGCTGACATCTTTTTAAGATATTGGCCATGATCTTAAAGGTTGGTAAAATGTCATTGATTTGGATGTCAGTTCTCTTTTTGCTGATTATGCAAAGGAGTGGAATATCTGAGGAATGCCTGTGAGGAACCTGGAGTTCTGGAGTACAGAAAGTTAGAAATTGTGTTTTTCATCCTGTTGTGTTAAGGCAGCAGTCATTTTGTTCTGTAGTATTTGGACAGAATAGTAGATAATAATAATGGATAGTATAGTAATATCCATTTGGAAAGGTCTGCCCATTTTTTAATTCTCTTTTAATCCAGGACATCCTTCAAGATTTCCATGTTATCTTGTGCCTTTTGTCATGACCAGAAGCAAAGCCAGGTTAACTCATCCCTGCTCTTTTTTTTTAACACATCCTTTGTGAGCACTTTCCATTGTCTGAGATGGCTCCAGTGCTACCAAGGTCACTGAAATAAATGAGAAGAAATGAACAAATTAATAGATTAATACTTTACCAATCCCTTGCAGTGCTAGAGAGTGGTGACCAATGTCTTCTGATGGGATCACACAAGGTAAGCTGTGCCCCACTCCACACAGTGCCTCTCTTATGCCCCCCCCCTCCCAGTGTACCTGATAGAGTTTGGCCCTGCAGCAGGGGGCAGGGGGGGTGTTGAGTCTTTGGCTGCAGAGAACACAGCAAAGGCAGGACACTGCTGAGAGAGTGCCACCAAAAACTAACTTAAACCTTCCCTGGTGCTGCTTTATTTTTATATGGTGAGTGAAGAGCTGAAGCCCTGAATTTGGTGCGGGTTCCAGGGACACAGAAGAGTTAACTTGGCTTTTGGCAATGATGTCTGACACCTCCTTTTGCAGCAGTGCACTGATGGGAGGTTCCTTTGCCTTCATTCTAACACCTCCATTTACTTGGTACCCTGGCCTGTCCTGCCACACACAGCAACTGCCCATACTACTTATGGCATGTGTGCTGTGGTTTGGCCACCCCCCTGCTAGGGAATGTAATAAACAACACTATTAATAAACATTATTAAAAAACATAACACTATTAATAAACACAACACTATCTCTAACCATGGGCTAGAGATAGTAAAGACATATTGGAATTCACCCACACAATGCTTAATAAGCAGAGCTTGCAGCAATGCCTATAGTTATTCATCTACTTTTTATTATAAGATCCTGTTTTCACTTGCTTATAATTTTGACAAACTTTAACAACCTCAAGTGAAATTTTCTGTCAGATATTTTAATCAGGCAGAATTTTCCTGAAAATTATGTAAAAAATGGTGCCCAGATTAAAAAGGGAAAAAAAAGCTTACAATTGTTTTGTTGAGAAGCTCTAATATGATTTGAAATTTAGCTACCCTTGAGTCAAAGAAATATCTTCGGTGTCTGTATGAAAACCATCTCAAACTTGGTTTATTTTGGAGAATTTAAGCCTCTAAAATTGCTATTTGAACATCCCAGTAGAGGTTTGAAAGGGTTGCCAGCTGTATT